CAGTTAAAAATGTAAAAAAATAAAAATTTTTGTATTTTTTTTCTAATTTTAACCTCTTATAAAATTATCAAAATTAAAAAAAATTAAATCTTTGTCGGACACGGTTAGATCGATTCCGCTGTTGACGCTGATCAAGAATATATATGATTTATAGAGTCGGAAATGATTTCTTCACTAAGTTTTAAGCTCCTGAATAAAATTAGAATACCCTGTAAGGGTATCAAAATACAACTACTTTCTTGTTTAGGTTCACTTTGGATTTTTGATTTTAGTATTATTTATATATATAAATCATTTAAACCTTAATCTTTTTTTGAGTTATAGTAAATCTCCCTTAAACCAGTTGGAAATCTCAAACAAAAATCGCCTAACCAAGATTATAATACCCTCTGCAAAGGTATAAAAACACAAAGACAGAAAAAAAAACATTCGCATGGAAAACTCTGGTCAAATCGCTTGGTTTTGGACTTGGTCTTGGTCTTGGGTTGACCTTGCCCCATTAGATGGCGATATATCAAACGATCGTCACATTTTCGGGCATTACATTGCGTGTGACTTTCGTCATTACATTAACCAAGTTAGTTGGTAGAGAAGTGGATCGATCTCAGGGGCTGTGAAATACAATTGGGAAATGTATCAAGCAAAGTCTGCCACGTAAATTAACGAAAAAAAGACACTATACATTCACTGGCCTACTTTATTTACATAAACAAATGATTACTAATATTAGAAGTAGTTGAAATCCAAGGGATTCTAGGTGTTTTTCTAAATTGCATTACTCATACGCACTGTTGTAAACTACTTAAATATTACTCATACGCAGTATCAAACGCAAATCAAATTAAATATTTAATAATAATGAAACTAATCTTTAACAATTTATATAATATTTAGTTTATAATTTATTAAAATTCCAAAAGATTTCCTAGAAAGATAATTCACTCACTCATACCTCTTTCACCCATTTAAAGTTAATCCTTGACCGAATATTGCCTTGATTATACAACAATGAACGCAATGCAACACGGAAATCAAAACCAAAAATATATATGTGCATATATATATATATATATATCTTTTCGATTAAGCATCTCAGAAAATGGTGCAATTTTGGTAAATTCAAATTCCATTCAATTTTCCATACGACTGATTCGAAAAAAGACAAAAAAAAAAAAAAAAAATAGTTGCGTTCGAATATCCGCCCGATATCAGGTGTAATGTAATGACAATTACTTGGCAAAAATCGTGTTGTGGTTTGTCAATTGGCTCTCTGAAAACCGGTTGGACCGTGCAACAATAAAAACACAAAATAAGTAAAAAACACAATCCACAAACAGCTAAATAAATGCCTGAAATTTCACTTGAATCACCGGATTTTTGTTTTTTTCTTATTGAACTCTTCTTCAATGCCAAACTGGTCAATTGATTGTGGTTCTTCTGCCACTTGGGTTTTGAGGTCAATCCAGGTACAGGTACAGGTTTAGATACAGGCACCCCAACGCTTTTTAAAAGCCAGAAAATTGTGTACGAATCCGATTTGAGTTTATAACAGTAAGTAACTTTGCACAGTAAGTACTATAATCAGTAATTAACTATGATCAGGAAGTATCTATGTATGATCAGTTACTAACTTTAAACACTAGTAAACAATGACTTGCAACTTTTGTAACACAACACATATCTGAGACGAGGCCGGCAGCAGGCACTTCGTTCCGGGGAGGTGAGAACCACTTGGGAATCATATGCACAGATGTGCGAGATTTGTTTTGGAACAAATTTTAGAGCATTTGAATGAAACTATGGATTTATTCTTCTATATAATTTTACTAGTATATAAATCGGAGCATGGCGAATCGGTGGACTATATATAAACATACATATATATAGCTGCCATAGAAACAATCGGAAAATTTTAAGAAAAATAATTATAATTTTTTCAATTTTCAACTGACTTTCATCAAAATGGATATATAGCCATTATATAATAATCTAGAATTTTGTGTAAGATTTTATGAAAATCGGAGTACTATATCATATAGCTGCTATGCACACAATTGTTAAAAATAATAACAAAACGGTGAATGAAATGAAAGCAGGTATTTATTTATTGTTCTTTAACATAAATATATATAATTTATATTGTATTAATTCCTTGTGATAGAATTTCAATCTGCAAGGGTATACGAACATCGGCGTGCCGAAGTTAGCTTCCTTTCTTGTTAGTTAATGATTTTAAGTATTATTCTTGAAATTTGAATTATTTTAAGGTACAGCGATTTCACCTTATCGAATATTGCCTGTTTTCCTTTCAGTTTTTCTTCTTATATGGCTTACGTGAGCAATCCCACATATACAAAAAAAAAAATAATAATGATAATAATAAACTTAAAACTCCAATTGGAACTTAGGCCCAAAACCCAAAACTCAAAAATTGAGAGAGCGCAGAGCGGAAAGCCAAGTGCTCATAACTGTAAACCGACGAGCGTAAAGAGCCTGAAGGTCGTCTGTCGTCTGCAAGGAAATACAAGTAAGAAGAAGAGAGCCCAAGAAGAAGAAGAAGAGTAAACAGGAAAAAAAGATAAGGCAGTGAAAAGAAACCGCAAATGTCAGATATATGTATGTATATGGGACAGTAAGGGGTAAAATATTAGCAGAGAAAAGGGGTATAAATGACTTTAAAAACAAAGAAGAATTTATATTTTTAAACATATGCAGATTTTTTTCTTTAATTTAGTTAATTGTTTATAATTTCTATATTCGTATTTATATATTTTGTATGCATATTTTCGATTATTTACTTATTTATTATTATTTCTCATTATAATTAACACAACTTATTTTTCTATATTAAAAGAAAAGCTTATTAGCGTCAACTTAATTAAAAGTAATGCTATTACTTTCACCGCCACTGTTTGTATTTATGGCTATTGCCTGTGTGTGCGAGCGAGAGGCTTGAGCTGCAATGTTTCGTAAGGCAGCATCAGTACAGCGTAAATAACAATAACAATAACAACAATTGCAACCGCAACGCATGTGGGCGAGAGTGCGAAAAAGAGAGAGAGCGAGAGAGAGAGAGAGAGAGAAACAGAGAGGTAGAGAGAGCTGGCTATAGTTTCCCAACCGGCAAACTTTAAGGAGAGAGCCACGGATGAGAAGAGCCAAGAGCGAGAGAGCATAATAAGCTTAAGGATTGGTTTCTTCTCACTTATTTAATTATTAAATTTTTTTATTTGGATTATTTTTTAAATACGTAAAAACCGTGAAAATATTTCCCAAAGAAATAAATGAAAATCCTTTCATCATTTTATAACATCATATAATTTATATAAAGGAAATACGATTCGTTGGCTTTAAAGCAAATATTAGTATTAAAAGAATTACTAATTTTATATATATTATATTAAATTGAATATATTATTAATACCAATACTAAATATACTTCAATAGTCAGCGTACATTTTTTTCTACGTAAAGATACACTCAGTTTTTGTTTTTTTTTTTTTTTTGTAATAATAATAATATTGTTAAAACCCTTTTCAAGGAGAATGCCATAAATAAAGGCCTGCTCAGTGATCTGCTCACATTTTGAAAGAGAGAGTGAGTGCATATTGGCTTCGCTTAGCAAACAAAAGCAAAAACAAAAACAAAAGCAAAGGCAATGAGGAAAAGGCAGGGGCAACGGTGCGCATGCGCAACTGTTCGGTGGCAGCGCGAGCCTCTGCCTTAGCGCCGCTACCGCCTCAGTCGGCGCAGCTGCAGCGGGAAAGCAGCAGCGTCGCAGGCGAGTGGCTTTTTTGCGGCTCGAAAAACTTTGAAAAACAGAAAAGACAGAAACGCAGCGACTGCCAAGCGAGGCGGTTGGCCTAAAACGAAAACGGGCTGGCGAGGCGAGCGTGTTAACCGATTATCCAAATAATTCCGGTACAAAACCGATACAAAGTGCGCGCAAAAAAACAAAAATAATTATAATAATATTAAAATATATGTTAAACAATATAATATTAACCGTAAAGAAACCTTAAAATTGATTTGTTTGTTTATTCTGGCCTCCTTTTTTTATTTTTTTTGTTTTTTGTTTTCTTCTTCTTTGGCCTAAATGAAAGTGCAGAAAGCCAAGTGAACGTGCCACCGACGGGACACTGTGAGAAAATATCAAGGATATTTATTAGAAAATCCTTAAGAATATTCTAAAAATAACCAGAATTTATTAAAAATTTATTAAGAGAAATTCCACAAAAACCAAATATTACATAAAGTATTTTTTGAACAATTAAATATTAAATAATCTAATGATTATTAATAAATCTCTAAAAATGAATATTTTGTACCAAATAATTCCTAGAAATTAAAAATAAATTACAAGAAGAAATGCACTATTCAAATTTGAATATTCCTAAAAGTTAATTTGAGTATTATTTATTAATTGTAAATTAATTATGGATTTGTAATTCTAAAATTAATTCCTGATTGAAGGCTTGTAACAAAAAATGTTGTTAAAAAAAATGAAGCCGAAAGACAACCTTAAATATTTTAAAATAATTTATAGATTCGTAGTAAATTCGAAATGGATTTTAGTTCAAGAAGTTAGAGTGTATTGTGGAATTTTAAATACTAAATTAATATAATTACAACATAAACATACATTTTTATAAAAACATACAGAGTAAACATACATTTTTATAAAAATATACAGAATAAACATACATTTTTTTACGCCAGATGAAAATAAACTTTAAATATATATAAATGCAAAACAAATATATAAACATAATAAATATAAATCTTCACGAAATATAAATATTAAGAATCATAAATATTAATAAAGTATAAATACAAAATATATCTAAATTCTTAACAGAAATTCTTCAAACATATATTTTGTGCATCTTTAATTTATGTTAATTGAAGAAAACATTTTTAAGAACTTTTAAATAAAAACCAATTGCCTTAATGTTTGTTGCTTAATTTTTTTTCTCAGTGTCCGGTTGCAGTGACTTGTGAATGCAAAAAAAAATCGAATGAAAGTGTTGGATTAACTCAGTTGCAATGCAGTGTGACGCTTAAATACCAAAAAAAAGTATAAATTGTGCAAAAGATATAGAAAAATCTAGAGAAAAGCCCTCTTTCCCACTTTCCTATACCCGAAAAAACCCTCAAAAAAGTTATCAAAAATATCAACAATGGTTGTGGTTCCCGCCCTGGGCGCCGCCGCCGTCTCCGTGGGCGGACTTCTCTTCAAGGCGAGTGCCGCTTCGAAGGCAGCGGCCACCGCTGGAGTGGCGGCCTTGGGAGCCTCCAAACTGGGACTGGCCATTGCCGGAGCCATCAAATTGGCCACCGCAGTGATTGGCGTTGGGAAGCTAACAATCCTGCCTTTCTTAATTGCCGCCATAGCGTATTACAACTATGATCTATTCGATCCGGAGAATCGTCCCTTTAATGTCCAGCAAGTGGATTTGGCCTATGATTTTATCATCATTGGCGGCGGATCGGCGGGCACTGTGCTGGCCTCACGTCTCTCGGAGATACCACACTGGAAGGTGCTGCTCCTGGAGGCTGGAGGTCATGAGACGGAAATCTCCGATGTGCCACTTTTATCACTATATCTACACAAAAGTAAAATGGACTGGAAGTATAGGTAATGCATCTTGATTCTTGTTTAAATTTTACAAAAAGTTATAGCAGGATATTACGTTTATTTTATCTTAAGAAACAAGGTTTTCAGGGATTTAAAGTGGAAATGTATCTTTGAGTTCTATCTCGCTTAAAGATTTAAATAATTTCACAAATATCTATATATGAGTGGGTCAAGTCAAGCCTGGCCTTAGCAGTGGCCCAGTTTGGTTGACAACAAACAATTTCCGTTGTCACTTTTATTTTTGTTTGCACCCCTTTTTTTTATTTTTTTGACTTAGTCACCAAAACTTTGACTCCCAAAGTCTAAGCCCAATGACTGACAAATTCTGGCATGCAAATCGCATAGGGCTCTTTAGGTTTAAGCCCAATCTCCATCGATGAGTTGCCTTCGTCATTAGCATTCCGAATGAGCCAAAAAAAAATAAATAAAAGACAGCTCAACTTGCGGCTGATGGGTTCGTTTTTTCTGCTTTTTTTTTTTGGTTCAGACAAGTCAAAAGGCCGGGTTTTAGCTCGTTTAGTTAGCAACTGCCTGCCGAATTTCAAACTATATATATTTGCTTGACGTCTTCACACGCAAACAGCACTCCCCGAAAAAAACAGAAAGGGAAACCAAAACCAAAAACTGAGTAATCTACTGACATTTTCACATCGCAGGGGAAATATAAATGCGACATAATGTCTGTGTAAACTGAAAGATATTATGGGTATTGGATGCGTTGGCGTCAATATTGAGTAGTTGCGAATTATATTTACTGGGCTGTAATGTGTACTTAAAAGAAACATTTACTTGGGTTGAAGGTACTACATTCATAAGTCAAAATTTTGACTATTTGTTATAATTCCTACTTGATTATTAGCACATTATTTGTTTTTAAAATATTTTGATTTCTTTTAGTTTACCGCAAACAATTACATTGTTTTTGTTTCATTTCTACATTCCAAAATTGCAATTAAACTTTTGGTGTTATTCCTGTAAGATTCTTGTGATTTTGTTTCACTTTCATTATTTAACAAGAAAGAAAGCTAATCCGAAGCTCAGTTTACTCTTATAGTTTTTATCCTAAGATCGAATGGAAAATGTATCATAACTAAGTTTAAATTATGCATTTGAATCGATATTTATGGACATTTTATATATGACAATATTTTCAAAAAATCAATATTTCAAAATCTCATAACTACGCCAAAAAAGCCTTAATTTTAATTCGGTAAGCAGTCCTATGTTAGTTTTAAGTAGAATAATAAATCTACAAACTCAATTTAAAATTAAAAAAAATTAAATTTTTTGTCAATTTTACTGATATCAAATTTAGAAAAAAAAAATGGTGAAAAAATGGTCAAATTTTTTTTTGTGTCGGACTTGGCTAGAAAGATTCGCCTGTTGATGGTGATCAAGAATATATATGATTTATAGGGTCGGAAATGATTCCTTCACCTTCTTTTAAGCTTCGGACTAAAATATTAATACCTTGCAAGAAATATTATGCTTTTGTTTCACTTTCATTATTTCAAAAGATTGTGATTTATTTTCACTTTAGTTTTTATTAATTATGTATTATATTCTTATCGTTTATATAGTACTTCATTTATTTTCCCAATAAATATTTAAAATAAAGCTTTGCTTGCTTTAATTTGTGTTGCTATTTATGTGTTTCATTCATAAAATTCGAAGAATCTTAAATAATTAGTAAATTTTATCTTTCCTTCATTTTTAAAGGATTTATATGCCTTTGTTATACATTCATTGTTTCCAAATAACTTTTAGTAGTAATTTCTTTTTATTCTTTTCACTGTCAAAACACGTTTAAAAAACAATTGCTTTATGATAATTCCCTCTATGGCTTCTGTTCAAAAGTTACAATTCTTTGAATCTTTCACTTTTCCCCCAAAAGACTTTCTTCTCCCAGCCTCTCTCTTTCTTTATGTCTCTCTCTCTCTCTCTCTTCCCTCCAGAATGTTCCAATTAGAAAAAGATAAAGTTAAAGACAAATGTAAATGATTTACCATTTAACAACCAGTATCTTCTGGATGGATAATCTTTCCCCCTTTTCTTTTTTTGTTGTTTCTGAGCCGCTTTCGAGCGGCAATTAAGTGCTTTAAGTTTTTCAAGCCTCCATTAAACAAGAAATGGAAAATGTTTAATGCTTCTATGACTGATTCGAATTAGAACGGGCTACCGTTAGACAAATCTAACCTGAGGTTAAAGTTTTGATTTCGATTTTTAAGTTTTTTTGTTTTGTTTTTTTTTTTTTTCTTTTTTTGGGCGGGTCTGGCGTTTCATTCAGATCGTTTTCTATCTCACGGCAGCATTTCATTAATAACAGCTGATGATCATCACCGGTGGCCGCTGCCACCTGTGGACACCAAACTGCTTAATTATTCATGAGAGCACATTGGCATTTTTCCCCCCATCTTCTCTTTGGAATTTTGTTCGAGCGTGTTACCAATACCGTAATCCATTTAACTGTTTAATTTGACATGGAGGGGATTGGTTTTCGATTTGGTTTTTGGGTTGGGTTTTAGGCCTAGCGGCGATCATCGTCTTGGTTTTTTTTTTTTGTTTTGGGTTTTCTTTTTTTGGTATCTTCTTCGGTTTTTGTCTTTGAAAGTTTCACTTTCAGAATTCCACATTCATTAGTATTTCCTTTCCCATTCCCATTCCATTTCAATTTGCCGCCATTATTCGTTTCTTTGCCATTCCATTCCGCTTTGCGTAAGTGAATGCAATCAATTGCTAAGAGTGCATGCGAAACGAAACAAAAAATGGAACAAAAGAAAAGGAAACACGGCGAAAAAAAAAACTTCTATAACGATTATTAAAGAATAATAAAATACATTACAAAAACTATATGATATACAGTTCCCTTGTAAGCAGACTTTAAATTAAATTTAGAATTAATTAAATATATTTAATCAGTTTCAGCTTGGTTTTTTCTAAGCAAAGGAAGCATTTAAATATTCTTTTAATGTTCATATTATACATAATCTTTTTAACAATTAAAATTTCTTTCTGTGCAACTCAAAATACGTGCACTGAGTGTGGCAATATAATCGAGTGTGTTTCTGAATCATTGCATCATTCGCAAAGTCGCGAGAGTCGCGTATCTGTATCTGCATTTCTTGTATCCAAGTATCCGTGTATCCAAGTATCTGAGTATCCAGTCAGCTGGCTTTTGCCAACGAAATACGTTAAGAAAAAATGGAAAAGAGTGAGTGAATTGTCCGGTGGCAGGTGCAAGAGTATTTGTTTTGGGTGCACTTTATGTACAAATCGCCACTCGAAAACCGCTTTGCGGTGGCAAATTAAGTCAACAGATATTGCAGCAAGTTTGAAACTGAATTGAAAAACAACAACAATATAACAACACACACACCCATCACTCTCACGTCAATCACCGGCTTTAATAGTAATCTTGATTGACCGGCTCTAAGAAAAAGAAAAGTTTCACCCTGTCTGAGAAAGTGCCAAAAAATCACGTTGTCGTTTGTCGTTGTCGTGTCTCCAGGGGTTCAAGGTCATGAAAAGACGATTTTCTAGTTTATTTTAAAAGGGGAAATGAAATTTATTTACAATTTTACGGAATATGGGTTTGATGTAATTAATAAATGGCTCGGCATATGGGTTAAATGTAAGAAACTATATGAACGTATATTTGAAACAAAGGAAATGAAACATAAAGTTTATAAAGGGAATGAAGAAACGGAAACAATGGCAAGGAACATTTTTAAGTGGTAGCTATGGTTAGGAGGTATTCTATATAAATTTTTCCTACTATACAATAAAAATATGCATAAAACGTAAATTAAAAAATCATTTAACGGCAATTGAAACTCGTTGCTTGTTATCCCCTACTCGTCACTCCTCATTCGTTAGTGTGAAAATTATATGCATTTAAGGCATAACAATAATAAAAAAACATTAAGTTCAATTTAAAATCAAGTTTCTTTTACAGGATAAATGCTTAAATATTTATGACTTTGCTGATTTCACAAGCCACGCCATATGCAATTTTTCGCCAAGCCATTCACAAAGTATTCAAATTCACAGTGGGCCCCAGCTAATACCAACAATGGTTCTGTGTGGTGTAAATATTTGTACAAACAAATCGTGTCCTCTCTCTACCTTTTCCTCGTTTTTACGTAACTCCCCCAACGGGCCATCAGTTGACCCCCATTATCTATTGGCCGCATCATTAAATTCCCCCGCGAGTTTGGGCCACGAATATTTTTAATTTTTGGCATCCCAAAAAAGGTGATGGAGACATGCCTCTGACAGATTAGAGTTCGTATTTAAAATACAAGCTAGAAACGGACATCAATTTAAGATCAAAGATACTGAGATAAATAGCAAAACAATAGGTTATAGTGTATACAATAAAATAATTCAAAGTACACTTTATAGAATCAATTTTTCTTCAGATTAATTTCGAATAATATAATAAAAATCGTTCTATACTATTTATGATTTCTGTTTTCCACTGTTCCAAATTCTATAAATCCTATTACATTCTTCATTATCGGGATATCCTATGCCGGCTCTCTGTTTAATAATAATTTCCCAAGAGAAAAACCGGATCGAATCGCGTCGCTCCAAGGCGGAATTGTATCAAAGTTAAAAGTGGGTTAGGCGGTCTACAGGTTTTGTTTTCTTTTGGCACGGAACGGAATGGAGCGGAACGAGTGGAAACGAAACGGCTCCGACACTTGGCAATTGCATTCGAATGACCAAAAAGACCGGCCTCATCCGCCACGATTGCCAATCATTGGCCAAAGCCAAAAGCAAAAGCAAGTGTGAGCCGGTTAAATGGACAGGCTTCGGTGGGTCGTCATACTCGATTCCGTGTATACCAAGTACCGAGTATCGATAACCCAAATTGTGTCAACTGGGCCATAAAATAGAGAGAGACACTTGTCCACGAATATAAAATAACAAAACAAACTAAGCTGCATAACAAAAATAATAATAAAAAAAGAGGGTCCCGCAATAGATAATACATG